TTGGTTTTACTCTAAAAAGATACATGGGTCTTTGATGCCTTGGACGAGTCAGGGAAGACCGAGCCGCAAGGGCTTCCTTTGTGCCTTGGTTTTACTCTAAAAAGATACTAAAGTCTTTGGTGCCTTGGATGAGTCAATGAAGACCGAGTCGCAAGGTCTTCCTCCATGCATTGGTTTTACTCTAAAAAGATACCAAGGTCTTTGGTGCCTTGGACGAGTTGGTGAAGACTGAGTCGCAAAGACTTCCTCCATGCTTTAGTTTTACTCTAAGAAGGGTACCAAGGTCTTTGGTGACTTGGATGAGTGGGTGAAGAATGAGTCACAAGTGCTTCCTCCATGCCTTAGTTTTACTCTAAAAAGTACAAGGTCTTTAGTGCCTTGAAAGAGTCAGGGAAGATTGAGTCACAAGGGCTTCCTCTGTGCCTTGGTTTTACTCTAAAAAGATACCAAGATCTATGGTGCCTTGGACAAGTCAGTGAACACCGAGTTGCAAGGACTTCCTCTGTGTCTTGGTTTTACTCTAAAAATATACCAAGGTCTTTTGTGCCTCGGACAAGTCAGTGAAGATCGAGTCGCAAGGGCTTTCTCCGGGCCTTTGTTTTACTATGAAAACATACTAAGGTCTTTGTCCGAGTTGCACACAAATTAAGCAAAAAATGAAATGGTTTTTATTAATAAGGACTCTTACAATTACATCTACTGGAAGCACTTCTTTAGGTGCTCCAGGGATGCTTCAAAACTTTCTCGTTTTGGTTCTGCAGCCAAAAGGTTCTCAGGTAGACTTCTTTTACGACCTTGTAGGGACCTTTCGAACTTGTAACGAGCTTCCTATGGTTGACTTATTTAGTGAAAGATGCTTTTTTGGTAGACCAGATCTCCAGGCTTGAACCTCTAGGTTAGATAAGGCTATTGTAGTGTTGGGCGGTGCATTGTTAGTTGATGACCAAGGATCAGAGTGCTTGTTCTCTCACTTCAAGGTTGAGTCTACTTTTGAGCCCGATCTGATTAGCTTCTTCATCAAAATATTGCAAGCAAATGGTCGACATACTAACTTCAACTATGATGCTTGCTTCTACTCCATATGCTAGTCAAAAGGGTATCTCCCCTGTGGAGTTCTCGTGGGTTGTTCTATATGACCACAGGGTGCCTGGAAGCTCATCGACATAGGCACCTTTCTCTTTGCCTACTCTTTTCTTCAATTCTTGTAGTTTGCACTTGTTTGTGGCTTTTCACTAAGCATTGTATTTGGGATGCGCTACCGATGCAGACCTGAGGTGAATTTTACACTCGTCGCAAAAAAGTTGCAGAATCATCTGCTGTCAAACTAAGTGTTGTTGTCAGTGATGATGGCTATCTACACACTAGATAGCGAATGACCAACCTCCATATGTAGTTGCGGTTTCCTTTTCGCTGATTCTTGCTAAGTGATTTGCTTCTATCCATTTGATAAAGTAGTTGATGGCCACCACATGGAATCTTCACTGCCCGGAGGCTATCAAGAATGTCCCAGTAAGTCAAATCCTCATTGAACAGATTGTATCAGATTGACCAATGGTTTGAGCTCAGGTACTAGTGCTCTCAGGATATTTGAGAAGTATCGGTATGCTTTTCACCAAGTTGTGAGCTTCTTTGAGTCGGACAAGATGGTCGGTCAATAGTATCCTTATCTAATGATTTTCTAGGCTAGGGTTTTAACCCCAATGATGCAGCATAAACATATACCAAAAAGTTGCAAGTGCACAACTAATCAAGTTATAGTATAAAGAATTATCGATCCCACGAGGAAGGTGTTTTGTAGGAGAAAATATAAAATCGGTTCTTATGTTGTGTGCGTGACAAATAGGAGTGATGAGTGAATGTGATTGTGAAGAGATTGAGAGAGTGAAAATAGTGTGTAAATTGGCGTAAAATGTAAGTGAGAGTGGATGTGACAAAGAATGAATGTAATCAATAAGGCAAGAATGAATAAAATCGAGAAACAAATAAAATCAAGAATGAAAAAAAATAAAATTCAAGAATAAAAGAAAATACAAGAAATTAAAGATGGTGGATTCAATTATAGATATGGGTGATCTAAAATTGAACCCACTTCTTTAGAAAAGGGTGATTCCCTAGAGGGTTCTAGCCTAAAGGCGAATCAAACAAAATGAAAATAAACAAAAAGAAAAACTAAACCCAAGAGGGTTCTAGCCTCAAGGTGAATAATATAAGAAATTAAAATCTAACTATAAAATAAATTGCAAAATCTAAACTATAAAATAAATTATGAGAATTAAATGTAAGAAAATAAATCTACTCTATAAGCATGAAATAAATCTAATCTATAAGTATGAAATAAATTTAAGGCAAGAGGGTTCTAACCTCTTGGCTATTTAACAAGAAAATAAAATCTAACTATAAGCATAGAAATAAATCTAAACTAATAAGCAATAAAAAAGAAAAAAAAGAGAAAAAGAAAAGAATGCAAACCTCTAAATAATTCTTCATCTTCATCTTCATCATCCAACAAAGAGAAGAAATATTTAAAGTGGTGAAAAAATTATTATTATAAATTGTAACAAAAAGTTACTAATTTTGAAGGCCTTCTCAATTAAGAGTAGCCCTCCTCTCCAAAAGGAGTTATAAAAATTTTCACACCTCTAACCCCTCACTCTCTACCCCTATTTATAGTAAACATCAATGAATGAGAACCATTGGATCGAAATCTTATCCAAAAACCATGAATTTCAGCCTTAGATTCGTAACAGAATGACGATGGCATCGATACCAGCATCAATGCCCAGTGCAGTCTGGTTGCTTTTCCGAAAATCCTTCTTCTTGTAGGCTTTGGGCTTGGGCCTTTTGACATTTTCTTTGCATTTTGGGCTTTTAATACTTCATAAAATATTTAAAAGAAATTGTTTGGCTTCATGGGCTTTATTTCTTCATTAAATCAAGGGCTTCTGTTGAGAGATGAGAGTTTGAAATTTATTCTTCATTAACCTGTAATTAAAAGATAAAAACAATTATTAGTGGTATATTTATTCATATAAAATAGATAATGAGGGTATAAAATTGTAATAAAATGTGATTATCAAATACCCCCACACCTAAACTTTTGCTAGTCCTCTAGCAAAGAAAAAAAATAAAAATAAACCTAACTCACTTTCGCAGGAATCGCGGTTGTATTTAGCGTATACAACAAGCCTTTAAACCTCTAGGTTACCCTAGTGGACGATTTGTAGTATCGTGAGGGTTTGCAGTGAATATACCAACAATATTCGGTCATCTTACCAAATTAAAAAAGTTAATAAATAACTAAATTTACTTGATAATTGAAGCTAGTTATTACTCAAGAAAAACATTTATATATAACTCTAAGGTATATTTCCTAGAAAATCTTCTCATTATAGCAATACAAAACCAAGCCAAACTTAGAAATTTAATTTAAAAGTTTTGAAAAGAACATGCTAACTCTTTGTTTAAAATAATATTCAAGTTGCTTGATCTAAAATATTTTCCAAGACCATATATACATATATAAAATATTTATTAGTGTTTTTATTTTTATTTTTTATATTTTTTATATTATCTTTTACTCTTTCTTCCTTGGTGATTTTTTTCTACTTTAACGGGCTTTCTAAGCGACCATTTAATGAGTTTTGGGCCAATGGATCCTAACCCAATTGAGCTTAGGTCATTAAGTATAAAAATACTCTTTGGGCTTAATTACTCGATCAGCTTAGGCTTTATAAGATAGAATCACCATGAATTTAAGAGTTTTTTTTGTGCCCATTTTTCGCACTCTTCATTTTGCAATTTTTTTATGTATATGTGTATATATTCTGAAAAAATATGTAAGTCAAGCCACTTTAAAAAATTATTTTTAACTCTAACCTAAGCATGCATTCCATTATTAAAAAAAAACTAAGTTAAGGCTTAAGTAAAGTATACTACTTTGAAAATTATTTCTTAAGAACTTTATTTAGAGTTATCATAAAAGGTGAACTTAAGTAAATAACAGATTAGAAAATTTAAAATTTATCAAATAAATCAATTATTACATAACTCTATTAATTTGGCAAGTGACGATATTTTTATAATTTTTTTAGAAAAGGAAAAAAATGACAAAAATGCAACAAAAAATGTAAAACAAAGAGAAAAATTAACTAATTCCCACCCCCACACCTAAATTTTGCATTGTCCTTAATGCAAACTCTATGATGCACAAAGTAAAGCAGATAAGAAGTGAAGTACTTATATTTGATCAGCTGATAAAAATCTGTAATTACCTTTGGTCTGTGGAGGATAGAATCAAAAATTTATTATTCTCTTCTTTTTTTCTGTTTTTTCTCTCTTTTTTTTCTTTTTTTAACTAAATAAGAAACTCTCGAATGAGAGAAGAATAAATTCTTTTTATTATTCTGAAATAAACAAAACAAATAATGTAGAATGAAGTGTTCAACACGAAGAGCTCGTATTCTACATTGAATCCTACCTTATTGTTAAAAATTCTTCCCCGGATTTTAAATATATTCAGAATGATATAATCAAGGGAAAATTGCTTCCAGCCCCCAAAACAACCCAAAACGTGCTATGCCCCCCCAAGACTTTTTCAACGTGCCCTTTACCCCCATGACTACCCCCGATTTTCTTCTAGCCCCCAAAACGAATCCCCAGGCCTAACTCCGTTTAAACCCCACTCGAAATGCCCAAAATACCCTTTGCAGCCTGTGTTCGTCGCCCTCTCACGACGGAAACCCATCGTTTTGACTGTAGGCATTAAATGGTGATTAGAATGACTTTTTTTGGGGGGTCTCACGACGGAAACCCATCGTTTTGACTGTAGGCATTAAATGGTGATTAGAATGACTTTTTTTGGGGGGAAAATTCCCATTTCCTTCCAAAATTATCACCAGATATTATCACCAGCTATATTCCCCTTCAAGCTAAGTTGTTCCTTCCACTTAATTCTCCTCAATAAAAGCCTCTTCGATTCTTCAACTACTCCCTGTAATAAAATGGCGGATGGATCTCTTCTATGCGTGGTAACGAAGGCAAAAAGCAACAAAGGTGGTGACGGTGTATTCGTCGTTATCAAAGAGAATACAGAAATAATCAGCTTGAAATATCGAGTGGCGGAAAGGCTTAAAATACCAATGCAATCTCTTTCACTGAAGTTCATATGCGAAAGGGAAAAGAAATTCAGTATTTCAATTGACAATGACGACGACTTAAATTTGATGTTCGAGTATTGTCGGCGTAATGGATTTACAGACGCGAATTTGTATGCTACCTCCGCTGGGGAATCCTCAATGTCGCAGAACACGCAGACTACGCCGGAAACTGCGTAGGAATTACACCCCAGATTTCCTTTTGAGTTTACTGATAGGTTTTGCCATTAGTTGTTAACCTCATGCATTGGTTGCTTAGGTAATGTGTTGGTTGTCAAGGTTATGTTATTAGGTAATGTGTTGGTTGTCAAGGTTATGTTAAGCACTGGTTGTTAAGGTTATTTGTTGGCTGTTACGTATACTGGTTGGTTGCTAAGATAAGGTGTTTGATGTTAAGTATATGCGTTTGTTGTTAAGGTCACGAGTCTGCCCTTAAGTATAAGTGTTGGTTGTTAAGGATATGCGTTGGCTGTTACGTTTATGAGTTCGTTGTTAAGGTTATCAGTTCGTTGCTAAGGCTATGTATTTTTCTTACTACTTCAGGACAATACCGACAGAAAATTCGAGGTGTGCAGATAACATGTTCACCCAAACCAGTAATGATGAGCGTATTCCTAATGACAACCCCACCGGCGACTCGATCATGCTGCTGGAAGACATGCTTAATCACCAAACAAAGATACCAAGTGAGTGGCACACCTCCATACGTGAAGTTGGTCAAAAATTTGATAGTGCTGCTAAAGTTAGATTAGCACTTTAATACTATTCAATTGCTAAACGGTTCGAGTATGATTTTTACCACAATGAACAAAGACGCATAAGAGTCTATTGCCGATTCAAGCACACACATGGTTGCCCTTGGATGTTGTTTGCTTCCCCGCTCAGAAATTCATCTATCATGTCCATAAAGAATTTCGAGTCTACCCACACCTGCGGTCAACATGGAGCAAATGCTGGCAACTCAAGGGCATCAAGGAAGTTCATTGCTAGCTAAATATAAGCTATTTTGAAGGTTAGGCCAGATCTTCGTGCGGTCGATATCAAGAACGACATGCTCTCTAATTTTGGCATCAAGATTAACTACAGTAAAGCGTGGTGGAGCAAGGAGACAGCTCAACAGGACCTGTTCGGTGACGATGATGAGGCTTACGATTCACTGAGATGGTCCTTATCTTTTTTATTCTTCTGAAATCACTCTTACGTTTTGGTTGCTAACTATACGTAGTAGTTGTTAAAGTTGGCGGTTCGACGTTAAGTGTACGTGTTGGTTGCTAACTATACGTATTAGTTGTTAAAGTTATTGGTTCGTCGTTAAGTATACGTGTTGGTCGTGAAGTTTGAAGATCATTTGTTATGGTTATGAATCCTTCGCTAAATGTACTGCTTTGTTGTTATATTCATGCAGGTATGAATCCATGGTGCATGCAACTAATCCAGGGAGTCGTGTTGTTATTGATGCTGATGACGGGAGGTTCAGGCGACTGTTCATTAGTTATAATGCCTGTATTGAAGGGTTCATTGCTGGGTGTAGGCCTCTATTGTTTTTGGATGGAACATTTATTAAAGATCGTTACAGAGGCATACTACTTAGCGCTACTGGGTATGACGGCAACCAGGGAATATTTCCCCTAGCTTATTGCGTATGCGACCAAGAGAATGAGGTTAACTGGAAATGGTTCTTACAAGGATTATGGACGTTACTGTATGATAGGGAAAATCCTTACCAACCTCCACATCGACTGGTAATGATTTCAGACGCCGACAAGGGTATCAGGGCAGCAGTCGAGGAATTCTTTCCAGATGCATTCCATTCAAGGTGTGTTCTGCATCTAGTCGAGAATTTCAAAAAAAAGATGAAGGATTTTGGGCACAAGGCAAATATCGCGACTACGTTGGGCGAGCTGTTACAATCTGCGGCTTATAAGTTCACAATATCTGAATGGGATAATGACATGAAAGAATTGGCAGCGATCGATCACAGGGCTTACGTCACTGTAATGGAATACTCCCCGGAGAGATGGGCAAACGCGTATTTTCCTGGTATAAGGTAAGATAGCTTGGTCCCAACGTTATTTTGTTACAACGTTATTTTGTTACAGCACTGTTATAGTTGTTTAGGTTAGAGTTATCCTACAGTTTTCTGTTAAGGTTAGATTTTTATTGTTATGGTTAGAGTTATTCTGCTAGGGTTTTGCTGTTAAGTTTAGGATATTTTTTGTTAAGGTTAGGCCTTTAATGTTTAGTTTATGGTTTTATTGTTAATGTTAGTGTTTTTTTGTTAAGGTATGGCCATGTTACTTCAAACGTTGCTGAGTCCTTCAACAGCTGGATAAGAAAGGCACGATTGTTGCGAATCTTACCTTTGGTTGAGACCATACGGAAGCAAATAATGGAGCGCATGCATGAAAGGAGGCTATTGGGTCAGAAATGGTCTGGATACCTATGCCCGGAAGCGGAGATGGTGCTGAGTGATAACATTCAGCATGGTAGCTGCTTGGCGATTAAACATTCGACGGAAGATATTGTGGAGGTCGAGTCCAATAAAACTTGCCGCGTATATTTGAAGAATCGGACTTGTTCTTGTAGGTCCTGGGACATCCTTCGCATTCCCTGCAAACATGCGTGCGCTGCAATTTCATGGATGGTACGGGAAATTTATCAATATTGCGATTGGTACATGACTATTGACGCATTCAGAGCAAGCTATGCACCGATCATCTATCCCATCCCAGATTACGAGAAGCGCTTTGTACTGCCAGAAGAGCGAGTGTTGAAGCCTCCTCTCACCAAAAAAAGACGTGGCAGACCATGCACTAGACGAATAAACAACAGGTCGCTGAACACCCGACCTGTTAAGTGCTCTCGATGCAACATGGAGGGTCACAATCGTGCAAGCTGTAACGAGCCTATATAGTTTAGCATTTTATTGTCATGTATACGAATTTGTTGTCAGGTATATCATTACAAGTGAGAAGGTTATGACTTGGTTGCTAAGGTTATTACTTGGTTTTCAATTTTATCACTTTAATGTTAAAGTTTTGACTTGGTTGTTAAGGTTATTATTTGCTTGTCAAGTTTCTCACTTAAATGTTGAAGTTTTGACTTGGTTGTTAAGGTTATTACTTGGTTGTCAAGTTTATCACTTTAATGTAGAAGTTTTGACTTGGTTGATAGGATTATTATTTGGTTGTCAAGTGTGTCACTTTAATGTTGATGTTTTGACTTGGTTGTTAAGGTTATTACTTGGTTGTCAAGTTTATCACTTTAATGTAGAAGTTTTGACTTGGTTGATAGGTTTATCGATTGTATGTTAAGTTTACTGTTATACACCTGTTATCCACCTGCTCTTTGCTGTCAATATCATCGATTGTTAAAATTGTCAAGTATATCGTTAAAATTGTTAGGTTTTATGGCTTGGCTGTTAAGGTTATTACTTGGTTTTCAATTTTATCACTTTAATGTTAAAGTTTTGGCTTGGTTGTTAAGGTTATTACTTGGTTGTCAAGTTTATCACCTTAATGTTGAAGTTTTGACTTGGTTGTTAATATTATTATTTGGTTGTCAAGTTTATCACTTTAATATTGAAGTTTTTGATTGGTTGATATGTTTATCGATTGAAAGTTAAGTTTACTGTTATACACCTGTTATCCACCTGCTCTTTGTTGTCAGTTTTATTTGTTTATTGTTTAGGTTACTATTATTCACTTGCAATTGGTTGTCAAGGTTACCGAGATATTTTTGATCTGACTGCATTCAATGCATTTCATAGTTCCCAAGGCAGTAGAGTAATATCACCATCCCTCGGATTGTTCCAATACAGAACCGAACTATATAACATTTCTCCTCACCTTTACATCTTCTTTATCTTCCCATCACCGCCATTCTATTTGTCCTCTCTATTTTCTCGATCATCCTAAGCTCTACCCTCTCCAATCTCATAAACCAGAAGATCACGGCTAGCCCTCACGCTTATGAAGACTTCTTCAATATTTCTGGGTTCTGACCATTTGATAGCATCAACCTTTTCTGAATATTATTACCTTTATATATACCCCATTGTCATTATCTCGAAGTTCCATCGGATGGGCTTGAATAGCAATGGCTTTCTCCAAAGAGCTTTCCGTTTTCTTAACAGGCTGCTGGAAAGCTCTTCGTTGGAAGCCATTTATATTCAAGCACAGTTTATGGAACTTAGAGAATTGACAATGGGGAATAGATAAGGTTATTAGCATTCAAATGGTTGATGCTATCATACAGTCAGAATCCAAGAAATCTTATACTCGAACGAGCCTATATAGTTTAGCGTTTTATTATCATGCACATAGATTTATTGTCAAGTATATCTTTACAAATGTTACGGTTATGGTTTTGATGTTAAGGTTATTATTTGGTTGCTAGGTTTATAGATTGAATGTTATGTTTACTGTTAGGTCTCTTACTGTTATTCACTTGCGCTTGGTTATTATTTGGTTAATGCTTGGTTGTTAAGTTTAGCGCCCTGTTGTTAAGGTTAGTGCTCTGTTGCCAAGCTTATGTATTGGTTGTTAAGGTTAGATCTCTGTTGTTAAACTTATGGATTGGTGGCTGTAGGCATATAAAATTGCTTATAGGTCCCTTAGCTCAGCTCGGCACAAACCGACAAACCAACGAGGCGACGAGATTGACTAATCGCACGCAAGCAACGGAATACGTCCATTCGCGTGCGGGATCAAGCCAAGTGTTCGAAGAGTCAACGAGTCATCCAACCAAGAGCATACTCGGACGAACCACGATCGAATCAAGATCGGTTTCGGACTCGAACTCAGAAACAGATTTACTGCCTAATCAGGATCCGGATCTACCGTCAAATTGGGACAACAAATCGAATCCAAACGCAAAGAACCGGAAACAACGGAAAACAACCAAACCCACTACCTAGAGGGGCTCGGTCGAAGGTGGCTCGGCACAGTGCCGGCCACCTCGAGGTGGCCGACAGTGGCCGACGGTGGCCGACGTTTCTCTTTTTGCGGGCACTGTCCTGAGAGCCTATAAATAGGCCACCCCCTTGTCATTTGAGAAGGTTGGAAATTTTGGAGAGAGGCGAAGCCCTGCTGGATTGGAGACTCGGAACTTAAAAAAGATTGAAACTTTGGGACTTCGGGGACTCACTCCTTCAGATCTGGTGCTCGGCGATCATCAACGTCAAATAAGGCAGGTGTTCGAGAGGATCAGATCTCAGATCTACGCAGGCATACTCCGGATCTAAGCTTGGTCTTAGATCCCGAGACTTGGACGATTGTTTCCTTGGTGAAACAATCCTCCCCGGCTATTATTTCCTTGGTGAAATAATACCCGTCGTACTGCGTAGATCCGACCGGATCTAGATCTCGCGGTGGTCCACGGCAAACAACCCCGGCGCAGGCAAAGAACCCACCAAGCGAGCGACCGCAAAACAGGAGCTCGCGATTCGTTCGACACAAAAGGAGAAAAGTTGTAATCTTTGTTTATTTTTATTTGATTTTCGTTGTAACCGGATCCTATAAAAAGACCGGATCTTTTGTAACTCAAAAAGTTGTAACTCAAGATGACAATGGAATCAATAACAAAGAAAGCAACGAATTTTCTAGCGAACAATCTGGCGACCACAGTGGGAGCCATCGATCTCGCTGCCGAGATCGGAGCGTCGCAGCCGCGGATCTTGATCCCAGTCGTGGAGGAGGTCGAATACGAGTTCGATCAGACCAAGTTCGAGGAATACCTTTCATCCTCGTCTAGATCAACCTCCCCCCGCAAGTCCAAGAAGTCCAAGTTCTCTTCCAACAGAAAGGTGCGTTGGTACGAAGAAGTTGAAGCTACCAACGACGACCTCATCTCGATTGACGCCAAAGTTGCGTCAGATGAGGCTCCACCAACCTCCAACCAGATCAAGCTGGTTCCAACCAATTCCTCCGTCACCAAAGGAGCGGTGACTCTCTCAAAGAGAGCCCGCCAAAGGCAACGCCAACGCTTGGCCAAACAATTCGCCAAAGCGATGGAGTCCACCGACGGAGTCCGCTACAACGCGGATCTGAAGAACAAGAGAGGCAAACAGCCTCAACAACAGATGAACGACACCTCTTCCAAGCCGCCAACAATGGAATGGATCCGTGTCAAACGGAATCGTTCGACGCTGGAAGAACGCATCCGCAAACGCCGCGCACTATCAGCGCAGGCACGGGCTCAAGCCGAAGAAGCCCGTAGAAGAACAATCTGGCGACCACAGTGGGAGCCAACAGCTTTACTGCCGAAGCTGTCGCGTCGCAGCCGCGGATCCCGATCCCGGTCGAGGAGGAGGTCGAGTACGAATTCGACCAACAAAAGTTCGAGGAGTATCTGTCATCCTCGTCCGAATCCACCTCCCCTCGCAAGTCCAAGTCTCCAAAGCTCTCTTCCAAGAGAAAACTTCGTTGGTACGAAGAAGTTGAAGCTGCCAACGAAGATCTCGCCCCGTTTGATGCCGAAGCTGCATCGGGTGAGATCTCTCCTTCCAACCAGGTCAGATCTGCTCTGGCCGAATCTTCCGTTGCCGAGGGCGTAGTGACTCTCTCAAAGAGAGCCCGCCAAAGGCAACGTCAGCGCCTTGCGAAACAAATCGCAAAGGCAATGGAATCTGTGGACGGGATCCGTTACAACACGGATCTGAAGAACAGAAGAGGCGAACGACCTCAACAACCAATGAATGGCAACTCCTCCAAGCCACCAACGAACGAATGGATCCGTGTCAAACGGAACCGTTCAACGCTGGAGGATCGCATTCAGAAGCGCCGCGCACTCTCAGCACAAGCACGAGCTCAAGTTCAAGAAGCCCGTAGAAGGTGGCAGAATGGAGTAGCCAAGAAATCACCACTAACTCACAAAATATGGAGGCCAAAGTCCAAAGTGGTGAGTCAGGCCGAGGATCGACCTTTACAGCCTTCAAAACGAGTTCAACCTCCCGAACCATCCCGAGGAAGGAGGTCAATCTTGGAGCGCCTCGGTCCAATTCCCGACGAGCGCAACGAAGTCCATGAACGCTCGGGCCCGATGAAGAGGCTCCGAACTAATCAACATGCTGGGGGTCGACACAACCCTCAACATGACAAAGAGTTTACGGCACCCAAGCGCACTACCTTGCGCATCGAAGTTCGGGAGCCCGCTGAGAATTCATGTCTACAAAGGCGTGTTTCGAGGCGAGTGACTCTCGGAAGTCCAAATAAGGCAGTTTGCTCTCAGAAGGAAACGTTGTCATCCGAGGATGATAACGTTATACCTGGGAAATCATGCCAACACGCGATAGGTTACTCCGATCAAATGGACGAGTTGTACTATCGTGCTGGGGGTACGAACAAAACAAGAAAAAGAAGCCCTCAAGGGCTCGAAACTCAGTGCCCATGTGCCAAGCTCATTCGGGTAGTACTGTCTCAATGCAACTGCATCAAGGGAGTCCCCGAGAGAATTTCAGTGTTCGAAAGGCTCGGCACCGAAACGCCAAAACCAAGGCATAGGCGCTTCCGGCAAAGAAGAACAGTGGTTAAGGATGGAGAATTTCCGAAGGTCACCGCCAACATGACCAGCAAAGAGACATCGACACAGATTGATCTCAAATCGTTTCTGGAAGCGTCCCGGCGTGTAACCCGTCTGCAGTCCGGAGCCATCGCACGAGGAACTTATGGTAGGGTTCGGATAAGATTGCCTTCGGAAGATGAAGAATCGGATTCCTGCTCTGCTGTCGCATCGGACAATACAGTGTCCAGCGAAGGACAACCCCGCGAGTCATTCATGATAGGCGCGGAAGAAATGGCCAAAATGCTTGAAGACGCTTTGGCTAAGCAGAAAGAAAGTTTTAAATTCGAGATGGAGACGGCCATGCAGCAGATGAGAGAGATGCATGAACAGCAAATCCAAGCATTCAGGAAC